CCCGTCCCAGCCCGGGGCCCCTGGTCCCTCGGGTGTCCCCCACCCTAGCCGCTGTGTCCCTGTCCCCAGCCCCCGTCCCCGCCACGTCTCCCCCACCCGCATTCCCATTTCCCCGTCTCCGCTCCAAAACCCATGTCCTCGGTGCCATCCCAATCCCCGTGTCCCCCTCCCTAGACGTCCCCGTCCCCACCCTGTCCCCTACGGCCCCTTCCAGCCTCCGCATCCCCCCTTGTCACCTGCGTGTCTCCACACGTCCCCATCCTGACCCCACACATGACCCAACACTGCAGGCACCCCTGGGCACACGGCCCCTGTCCCCGGTCACCACCCTGCGTGGCCAGCCCCTGTCCCTGGGGACGAGCCACCCCACGCGGTGCTGGGGACCGTGGGAAGGCCACTCCGGCTGGCTACGCCACCGGGTCCCCCGGGGACGTGGCTCCCCGGGGGATGGAGTGCTGCCCGCCCTGCTGCCTGCCAGCTGCCTGCACCCTCTGCAGCCCTGCCGTGCCCTGCAGAGCAAGGCCACCGTGGCAGGGACCATGCAGAACAGGGCTGGAGGGACAGGCCATGGCCGCGGGGACAGGCTGTGACAAGGCTTTCTGCAGCACAGGGGGGCCAGGTGGCCCCGGCCAGGGCTGGGGGACCCTGGGTGCTGCCCAGGGTGGGATGGCACCCCGGGAGCGTGACGTCCCGCTGCAGCGTCACACCTGGGAGGGGACCTTCCCCTGAGCATCGCCCTGTCCACGGCCCCCAGCGGCCACCCAGCAGCAGGACCCCCGTGCCGCGGCCCTGCCAGGGTGACCCTGCAGTGCAGGCGGGGAGGGCAGGGGGGTCTGCACATCACGCCCCGGGAAGGGACCGGGGCGGCGGGGAGGCCAAAGCCCCCCCTGCTCCTCAGGGCTGAGCAGGGACCAGCTCCTGGTCCCCTCCCAAGGGACGTGCAGGGTGGCCCTGGGGACAGAGCCGGGAGGGGGACATCATCGCCGGGACACCACCAGGTCACCTCAGCAGCATCTCTCCAAGTTATTTTTTTGGGGGCACCCAGCACACCCATCGGGGCAGAGCCCCAGGGCCCCCGTGGTGACAGGTCCCCTGCCACCCACCCCGGAGCCGGCCGGGCAGGGCTGAAGGCTTTATCGAAAAATCGAAACCACACAACTTAGTAGTTATTATTATATAATGAAAAAAAAAAACAATCAACCCAACCTGCAGTGGAGGGGCACCCCACGCGTCCC